TGCTATATTCAAGTGGTAAGACCGTGGTATTGCGTCGTCATTAGCAGCATATCCTCTGGTCTTCATTAAATGCAATTTAGATTACTGTCTTTGCCATTTAGACCTCAAAATGGCGGTGAACACTGCCTTGGAACAAACGTTCGTGTCCGGTCCTGCAACGTTCAGGTTGGTTTCGCCTTCTCATTGAGACGAAACTTCTGTTTTTTTACTAATCGTCTAATTTCATCAAGCTCAGTTAAGCTGCAATTTTATGTCTCAATCTCTGAATTCCTTTTTTTGTTAGGATTGTCCTGATTCAGTGGATCTACGTCAAAAACTCTGTGACAATGTAGGGCAAAAGCTTAATAAACACCTGCAAGCTTTCAGACCAAGCAGTAAGTTCAGAAATGCCAGTTAATTTCGAAGGCTTGGAAGTCATCACCAGGAATAAATTTCAAAGGCTGCTTCTCTTACCTCAGAGATTTTCGTGCAGCCAGTCTGCACGTGGATTTTACCTACCGATCGTTTTCATTGCCATGCTTCTACTTGTTTAAAACCGTTTTCCCAACCCTTGTGAGATATTTCCATCATGATGCTCCAGAAATCTGATTCTTTAAACTGAAGATGGATCGCTTGGATGTCTTGTCCATCTGTGCATTTGTGGCTGAGCCCGCATCTTCGTCATTCTCAGTTGTGGCGGAAATTACACAATGACAAATTTTTAAATCAAAATTTTGTTTTCAGTATATCCACAGACAGCTAGTGAATGCTAATATCAATAGCTGCCTCTCATTGTAATTTGTTACTTTGGAGAATAAGCACTGGTTTAGCACTAGGACGTTTCAATGCGACACTTTTCGAAGGCGAAAAGTAACATTTCCCAGATTTCTCACTAAAGTCAAAAGGATGCAGATCTGGCAAATCAGTAAAGGCGCTTGATTAGCCACTCACTCTGCTGAATTTTTATATTTTTTCCCAAGTTGGAGGTGCAAATGCCTGTAAACTTGTCTGCCTCGACGGTACTAAGGAGGTTGCACACAACGAAAGCCTTCCGGATGGAGCCCCTTGTTACGCACATGGAACTGACATCTGTATCAAGGGGAGATGCTGGGTAGGTGTCATCCACCACTTTCTGCGTCGTTAAGACCCTGAGCTTACAACTCTTTGATCCAAACAACAGTATCCATTGCAAGTTCAACTGATTGTAGGTAGATTTAGAAACGTGCAATGCATTTTAAACTTCAAATCATTTAAATTGCATGGGAGTGAACGATAGGGTTTTCATGGAGTTCAAAATGCAAAGTTTTTTTCATTTTGATGACTTCTTTACATCTGGTGCGAAATTGCGACTAAACTTGGGGGTACACATGGATATCACTTGGAGAGACTGTCAGATGAGTGTGTGCGCTTGAACACTTGATCAAGTTTTCTGGCACTGTAACGCAGGGACCTAAATCCACTCAAACCTTGAATCTTAACAATGAAGAGAGCATTTATCTGGCCGATGGATGCAAATACTATGGAACTAAAAATAAGCTTGACTTCTCATTTCTATAGCAAGCAGGTTGCGACAAGATTCTTGGTTCGCGAATGAAAAGGGACAACTGCAATGTATGTGGCGGCGATAACAGTACCTGCTTTGCAGTCAACGGCGAATTCCGCCACTCAGATGCACTTGCCCCTGGTGCGAAACCTGTCGGTAAGTCACTCAACTTTCTTGACTTTTGTGGTCCGCAGTCCATTGAAGACTTATTCTTCCATTACATATTTGTCTCTGAACGTACATTTTAAGGCTACGGGAAGGTATCTAAGGCGTTAGTGCTGTCTATCATCACTTTTGATAACACGAATTGAAAAATATAGTTGTGCGCAGTGTCGGTGTTATAGAGCCTTCTAAATATTATTACCACGGGAGCTATTTGGAAATATTATGCTAGCAGGTAATGCATGCGACTCTAATAAAACCTGCAATGTAGTTGTGTTTGGGTTTCAGCTTATCGTATGCTAGATGTTTGAAGCTGTACTTTTTTACAATTCCATTCAGGATTGACCGTTGCTGTGCACATCCCTCAAGGGGTTACAAACGCCTATATCAAAAAGGTTTCAAGAAGGTCCACACCCTATTCAGCAGACGCGTACGACGACTTTATGCTACGTAGGCTTGTTGTTCTGTTGACTGTTCTACAAAGGTTTTGCCTTATTTTAATCAATGCAGGACAATAGAATATGAGACGCATCGTTTTTACATCCACATCTAATATGTTAGTGTTGTAACGCATTTCTGAGTGCTGCTCACTAGTCACTGGTCAGCTTGTCTTTTTAACGCAAATCTAGCTTGGTCTTTTCCATTAAGACAGCAACTCCTTTTGCCTATCCATTCCCCCGTCTAAGTGCTAGAGCTTCCAAATAGTTTAACAAGAATTATCTACGGCAAAATGTTCTTTGGTGCACTGAACGGGTTAGGAGCTTGCGTACCCAAGCATCTTTTGCTAACTCCATATAATTCAGTACACAAATTTTGAACGAGTGCATTTCTGTGTTAAGTAATATTCGAAGAGCTTAAGACTCGCATCCGTCGAGGCGAAACACGGGAGCCTTTCGCGGGAGCGGAGCTCTATTACAGCGGCAGTCGAGGAAAGGAAGAAATTGTGCATATCAAGGGCCAAATCAATAAAAATGTCAACATTTTGGTGAGTACCTTTGACTTTTACAAAAAGTTGACGCAAGTACATTTTTGCAGCTGCTAGGCGTCAAAGTGATCCCAATAGCTTAATAGTCGGCGGAGGTATTTTGGATGCTGCCTGAGCAAAAGGCAATTGATCTACTGCTAACCAATCTGATATAGAAACGGGGTGATAAACTTCTTGAAAGACTCTTTGGATGAGTGAATGTCCAAAGTATATCGCCTATATCTGTGTCGATAGGGCGTTGCATCCGAGGATACATTCCCTTAGCATTTCAGGAATCGGGTTCAAATATGAGCAAACACCAATCTGAAACGAGTGGTTAACCAAACGTTGTACATGAAATGGCGCACGAAATGACAACCAAAAGTACTCATTATAAATTCCATTGCCTTATAAAACTGTCCATATTGTACAAACTCCGTTGCCCAATCGCTCTTTGTATTTCTATCCAAAACATTTCTAGCTTTCATTTAATAAAAAATAGCAACATGGTGGGGTGAGTAAACTTGGGTTTCCGTCACACCTTAAGTCCTAAGGAGGGATTTGATGCGTCACTGACTCCAAACTAAAGTGCTCCAAACAATGTCAAATGGTGATTTAAAGCCTTTATTTGGCCACTGAACCGGTGAATTTTGGACCGTGCTGATGCCACAAAATGACATTCAGTCCCTCACTTTTTATCAGATGGACGAGCTAGGGAACCGTTGATGCGCTATGCGGGGGGCCTAAATTTAGCCCATCCTGGTCCCCAAATTCGACCGATGTAAAGTTACAATCCTCGCACACACGCATAGACGCATGCACCCCTCCCCATTTTCTTTCCTTCCAGGTGCTTTTTTCATGTCTCAGTCCCAAACACGACTTTATTTCGGAAAAGCAATCCACCGGGTCCTAAAAACCCCATTTTCAGGATCATCCGCCTCTGATAAGCTTGGATGTAGACTCAAAGCAGTTCCTGTTACACATGGTCGCCGTCATGGCTTTATCCATTGGCTTAAAAAGTGAATGGAGTAACTTCCACCTCCGAAGATCAAGTTTACTGATTTATGCCATTGGAAAAATTCGCAGTATTGGTTGAGCTTTTGGAGAACTAAGATTTCCAATGACAATAAGGAAGAATAAAAAATCGACTCAAATGATGTTTGAAGAGTCCTACTCGTTGTTCGGACCTACCTGTTATTTCATATTCAAAATCTTTATTTCTCATATCACTTTTCATGGATTTGCAAGTCCACTTGGAATCCCAATTTCCAATTCCACCATGCTCATTTTAGATTGGCAATCGCCTATACTCAGTTACCTCAGTGATCCGAATCTTTGCAGACGCCATAGTAAGCCATAGCGTACATCACCGGTGCGTGGAAAAGGCGGTATGCTATTGGCATGGGTCAAAGATCATGGAGCCAGAGTAAAAGTGCAGGTTTCAGTGAATGCGACGGTTATGGAGTTGGACATGGCTTTCAAAGATGTTTTGCTCTCAAAAAAGAGTTTTAACCAAATGGGCCAGAAAAAAATGTCTATAATGATTGCTTACAAATTGTCAATGAGTAGTCCTGGTTGAAAACAATTTGAGCTAAGCAACTCACTGCCAATGTTTCAGATACGAGTTGAAAATAAGAACACCGAGCTTCCGCTTCCAGACGTGAAATACACCTACTATGTGAGCAAAGATGCTGGCGATCGCCTGCGCTTCGACCCTTTGAGTTCAGCTGAGCATCACTACAACGACCCTTTGTTGCGATTTCTCCGATCGCCTCGCAAAGAAGCCCCACTCGACGATACCAACGAGGAAGGTGTTGAAAAACTCTCTCCTCTAGGGCCATCAAGGACTGGACACCCACCGCACACCACCAAAGAGCCCATGGGCTTCGAATGGAAGATGGATGAAATTCCCAAGGAATGTACGAGTTGCTCAGGTGAGTTTCACACCGCATCTGAATAATCACTACTACTTTATCAGACGCATTAACTCTGAAATGAAAGCAAGTGTTGGTTTTTCATGGGAATTATTCCGATTTCTTTAACGAGTAACTTCATTCGACGATGAAACTACTCATGAAGGACAAAAGCTCCATTTATTGTGCCACCGTATTTCAGATCAAGGTTGTTATAAATAAGTTTCTATGCAAAAGGCTAAAGTTTTATTAATCTCTTGTTTCATTCCACCTTGCATTCCAGCAATGCAAAACCTTAAATAGATTAAAGAATACATCTAAAAACTTCTTTTGGAGTCTTCAAAAAATCTAATTCACCCTCCGCCTAGCCATTTCATTATATTGCAATTGAAGGTGGAACATAAAAAATTAGATAAGGCCTAAATTTTACCATCTTCTAGGGAACTTTAGATAAGGGCATGCGTGGCTTCAGAAGGGTGTTGATACTGCGCTGACATGTCTTTCAATTCAATTGTGCTGAAAGATTTGTGGTTATAGAAATCTATATCCACCTACTTTAGGAGCTACTCTGTGGGTACCGGTGAGTACCGGTGAAAGGAATGAGGATTCGCTTTTATGCCTAATAATGTGGGGTCACTGTCACTTCCTGCAAGTGGTTCGACCTCTGCAGTCATATTCATTTGTATGCTTCCACAAACAGATGTTTTCCAAATACGACACCCATTATCAGTCTCAGTTAAGGTGAAAAATTTGTGAAAATTTCTATTAAACTTTTGCAATTCAGGCTGCCGGAAATATATCGCCCACAGAAAGCATTTACCATTTAGCGTTAACTTAAAATCATGCTACCCACCTAAAATCTTATCTACTCAACGAATTCGTAAACAATGGGGGCAGTCAATAACACGAGATCTCTACTATGTTATTTTCAGAACTGAACTCTCTGCCTACACTTAATGACAAATTTCTCTCAAAATTCATCATCATTCGTGTTTACCGAGATGCGTTAAATAATTTTGTTAGATGATAAATACGAATTAAATCTTCCATTCTCAATTCACAAAGGTACTGTACAGAGTCACGCCTCCTGTTACCCCATGTTCAGCAGTCAGGAGGCCGCGAAGCGTTATGGAATGCATCCGCTCCGCCCTCTACCACCACGTTACTGTGGCGAAAGTTTGAGACCGGCGCCGGTGACACGTAACTGCGCTGACTACTGTGGAGTACGGTGGTCATGGCGAGAGGTAAACGCCTCAGACTACACGGTCGCCCGATCCACCTGCTCTGTGCGATGTGGCGAGGGCGTTGCGGAGGCGCGCTTTACCGCTATCTGCGAGGAGAAAGTTCACGATAAGGACACATCTCACACCATTTGGCGTGAAAGTCCTCTCGGTGCTTATGCTTGCATCAAAGCCGAAATTGGTGAACCTCCCGAGGATAAAGTGGTGACCAACCGTTGCACAGGGGATTGTAGACCTCTTCAATGGGTCTTTTCTGACTGGGATAAGGTAATTTTCTACGTTCAGCCGATTTATAATGAACATGCACATATATCCGTGACGGTGTTGTCGATCCATTACTTTCGAAGTGTTCGCAACGCTGTGGTTCCGGAACAAAACAGCGCAGTGTGACGTGTGTGGATGACGCAGGCAACCATTGGCCACTTGCTGAGTGCCTGAAGCACATTCCGTTAACCACGATGGGTGAAATTGATGGAGTGGATGAATATGTGGGAACTGAATCAGAAGAATGCTTTGAAGTGGATGCCTGTGGAGGTCAGTTAACGTGGGTCGCAACTCCGTGGTCTGAATGTCGCTCCACAGCCTCATACATGGATAAGAGCGGCCTATGTCGTTCTGAGCTGAAACGCCATCTTGACGGTGATAACCAAGGTCTGCCTAGCAGTTCTGCCTTCATTGGCTTTCAGACACGAACTAGCAAGTGTGTTATGCACTTCACCTCTGACGAGAGGGTCAACTTTGAGGTTCCACAACATTTCTGCGAGCGTGCACACGCCCCAAAGCCTCTCGAGCAGCAAGCCTGCACCGTAGAATTCACCTGCTACCGTTGGACAACCGTTCAGTTTTCACAGGCGAGTTCAATATCCACATACCAATTAATAGGTCAGTTCAGATGTAGACGTTCATTAAGACGACTTCATGTATCTGAGTGTTTCATTGTCATTTAGTCTAGGGGAATGACCCCTATTTGCCATTTAGTTATGAGTCAGTGGAGCATTAAGACACCCCATGTGCTTTCGATGCTTATTAACGTTTGTTTGGCATCTTGGATGTTTTAAGCAGGAGTGCTTTAGCGATAAATCAACAATTAATACATTCCATTTCCTTCTTCTACTGCGGGTTCATGTGTACTGCCACACAAGTCATCACATCAAGTTGTGCGTTCTCCGAGGATGCACGCAAGTGCAATCTAAAAATAAGGAGGGTAGAGGGCAAAAGTGTTGCAGTGATGCGCACTTTAGACCAATGTCTATCGGTTCCTTCATGTTCATTGCTGTACGCATTTACGCGGATTTAGTCTTCATTATTATGCGCGCGTTTATCCAGGTCCTTTCTTCTTCTGGAGCTTGATACGTTGAGCGATTAAGCCCTTTTGGTTCTTTCGGAAAGGATAGTTTTTTGTCCAATCATAAAATGGAGGGTTACCAATACACCCGAATGTATCTCATCAAGCAAAATTACTTTTTATTCTCCTTCACAAAGTGCTGCAGTATATGGCCTCTAGGTCATTGCGCAATTTTCATCAATTAATCCGGACTTCCTTTTTGATAAAGCTTTTAAACGTCTGCCTACCACCGGTACCTAGCATATTACTGTTTTTTCTGAGGAGGAATACGCAGTTTTTTCATTAGAGTGACTTGTCATATTTGTAATCAAAGAGTACTTCAACTGACAGTCATAGATCATCGTCAATCAAGATTTAATGCTAGGATCCACATATTTAGGAAAAACGCGAGCCTTTGCTGTCTAACAGCATTTCACTGGCAAAAATAGAGTTGTATTTCTGCATTAATAAGTTTGTTGAAACATCGGTACTGAATGTAGCACTTTATTTCATTGTACTAAAATATTTTAGTCTCAATTAGACACCTCATAAGCACTAGATTGAGGCGATGTTGGTAGCACATGAAGCATCCGGGAGATAAAAAGCATAAATTACTGAGTTGACTTATAAAAGGTGTTACTTTTTATTTATTCACGGAAAGCGCATTCCACATTTACTAACCTTCAGTTTTCTTTTTTTCTTATTTTCAATGCTACCTTTTAAACTTTTTATTCTCTACCTTAAAGTGTTCCACCAACTGTGGCACAGGTCAACGTATAGGACACCTCTCCTGCGAGCAGATCAGCATTTCACGAAATGAAAGACCAACCGTGACGCCCATGGATGAGACCAGTTGCCTTTCTCACCTAGGCTCCAACGTCTCCCTTCAACTCGATAGTCGACGGGAGGATCCGACAGTTTACATAGTCGAGCGTGGCTCTTCGGAAGAGCGTGAGATCCTCCAGCGTGCGCCTTACCTCCGCCCTCTTCCTTTCACCCCTGGCAAGCCTCTCTTTCTAACCTGCTCCAATCCGCCCTGTCAAAGTCGCAATCTCGAATGGGTGGCCGGTGAATGGTCTATGGTAAGAGTTGAGATAGGTATCATTTTGTTACCTTAGTTACTCCCTTAAGACCCACTCTTTAGACAGCGTATTGGGGACCCCATTCTTCGTTTAACCTTTTGGGCCTTTTGTGAACATCTCATCGCCAGTTTTATAAACTTCAAAGACGGAAAATACGTAACAGTGCTCTGCCCGTTGCGCTCAAAATTTGTGCTTGGAGTGATGCAAACTGTTCAGTTACTCGAATTTCCGGTTCTAACGAAAAAAAGACCAATCATGTCATGGTGAAGCGCATTTCTTAGAGTTCATTCTACCTAACTCTCATGAATTGTACCAGCAGAGGGTTGCGATGCAGTCTGACATGGATGCACTCTTTGCATAAAGCACAGCCCTTAGCTCTATACCACTACTGATTCAGCCAGCCACGACCTCTGCTCAAAGTAAATGACTACCTATGCTAACATTCCTCAACTTTTATTTCACATAACCCATGGCAAAACTATTTATTCTAGGTTTAAGCCTTTGATTTTTGTGGAAGGGTGTTTATCGTCAATTGAAATAAACGAAAAACTATGGTTCCATATTTTGAATTCCCACGACTTTCCCCATGTGGCTCTGAAAGTGACGTCGACCGTGCTCTCAGGAATGCAGTTTCTTCAAGCTAGTCTTAATTATGAGTGCATTTCAAACGGTTGACTGAATTCTAAACTCCTTTGGTGCTCCTTTTCACAAATACGGATTTTAGTGCTCTGCAACTTGCGGCGTTGGCTATCAACGCCGCTCCCTCCGATGCCTGCTGGTTGAGCGACACGCCGGTTCCCCTTCAAAGTCGGAGGTGGTGGGGTTAGAAAAACCGGAGTCGGAGTGCATCGCCAGAGGACTTGTCAGACCGGCAGACATGCAGCTGTGTGAGATATCACCATGCTTCAAGTGGAGTCCTGGAGAGTGGTCCGAGGCAAGGTTTCATCACTATTTTTTTCTAGGTCCCTTGAATAGAGGGAACTCTGCAACTGTTATATCGACCCGATGACTTGATAGTTAATGCTTCTTCAAAGTTCTGTTTGGATGCTCCATCATTAGTATTATATATAGCATTTTTTAAATTTCCATCCTATGCTCACAAAAGTAATACCGAATAACTAGTTCTTGAGTAAATTTCCACTTAGAACTCAAATTTGGTATTTTTGAAGCCGTCGAAAATTTATTTATTGTTACAGTTTAATAAATCTGCCAGTAAATGAATGTATCAACCACAAAACTTGACATTTTTGCATACAAAAACTCAGATTGACATGAAGCACCCTGATAACTGGTTTAACGTAATTTTTTACTAGTGCAAAGGCATCTGCGAGTCTGGCACACAGGAACGGCAAATTCGATGTGTTCGACAGAAGAACCTCTACACGACTTCCCCTGAAAGCGTCATGTGGAGTAGCTTTGAAGTCCATCCCAACGTGAGCAGTATAGTAATCGAGCAGGAGGTGAATTCAGACGAGTGTGAGCTCCAGGTGAAACCTGCGGAAAAACGCGCCTGCCTTTTGACTTCTGAGTGTCCCTTCTGGTACCAAGGGCCATGGTCATCTGTGAGGTTTCTCCTTATCAAATGTATTTTTAGTGTGTCGAGACATAAAATGTTGATCTATCATTTTCAGTGTTCATCAACCTGTGGGGCGGGTAGAAGGTTTAGACATGTGGACTGTCGATTTCCTAACGGCACGGTGCTCTACGCTATCGGAAGGTCATCACGCGATCGCAATATACTTAAACTGCCGTCCAGAAGAAGACGCAATCACATTGCTGCATCTAAAGAATATCTAAGTACATTAAGATGCTTAGAACCCCACCCTGTTGATAGGACAGAGTGCTTGCTCAGGCCATGCCAAGAAGATAGACCCTTTTGGTGGCCAGTCGTCTCGTCGACCGTAAGTCTACCTTGCCCACTTATTTCTGGTTGAGTTGAACCACCTTCATCGTCATATCTACGCTCTCCTAGTGTAACACCAATGGTTGCAATCGTGGCTATCAGCAAAGGGAGCTGCAGTGCCTCGCACCCTCTTTTCAACCAGTTGACCCCAAGGAGTGTGCCTACTCTCGAAAACCCCTCAACGTAATTCCTTGCACTTTACAAGAATGTAAGACCTACCGTTGGCGCACGGATACCTGGACTAGAGTAAGACCGTTCATGCTTATCATTCCTTCTTTTTCGAAAATATAAACACTTTAGGTGGCGTATTTTGATTCTCACAGTGTCCCTACGTGTGTGGAAAGCACTCAAGGTACAGGAATGTTCGCTGTGTGGATGATCTTGGTGAAGAGTACGCCGACCACCTCTGCCAGACTCATTTGCGTCCTGACTCTTGGAGTGTCTGTCCCGATGCCTGTCCAGGTGAGGAATCAGCACTTATGCAGTTAAATAACAAACTACTTTTGGAAGAAATATTAGTATTGCAAAATGTCTTTATTATATGATTGGGAAACCTTCTCCGGTGAGATTTTGAATTTAATTTGCGTGTAATAAGGCAAAAGAATTAGTGTACTTTGCAAATACGGTCTCTATAACCAGGTTAACGCTAAAATTTGTGACCATCCAGCAAGTGGAAAATTGGAAGAATGTTTCTCATTCTCTCGTAGTCATCCTCCTCCGTGACTATACGAGTTTGGGCGCTCTCGGCCATCGAAGGAAGAGAGTGGCGGTTGTGTAGCGATCCTGGTATTAACCGTGTTGAAGGATACTCCTGCCCGGTTAGAAGTCAGAAAATGTGTTGGGATCGCTCTAGGACTCCATGTTTTAAGACGTTTAAATGAGATGAAGTAATGTTATCTAAAGCACAAGGTGGTGAACGCGGAACATTCCCAAAGTCAGTAGTCAAATAATTATCTTGACATCCTTTTTATTCCGTTTTACATTTTGACTACAATATTTGGTTCGTCTTTTTGTATTAAAAGTGGTATCTTCTGACTCTCAACTTCGAAGCTTGAGCAGTAATTACAAGTAATTACTTCATCTTCGACATATATCAAGGTAATAGAAAGAACAGCTGAGATAACAAAGGCATTTAAAGCGTCTTAAGCATCCTTCCATGCCAAAAATGGGCAACAATTGTCAAGTTATAATTCTGTTGAAAAGTGAGGATCTGCGATTTTAAGTCTAGAGGATCCACTGTTACATAAGTGTGAGCAGTAGTGTGTAACTGTTACTTCAATTGTTTATTTCGTACGAAGATCTTCCGATCAGTTGCTGGGATCAGAAACAGCGCCACCCCTCTTCGTCTGACGGCCTGTATGAGCTCGCTGTACATAACCAAGTGGTCAAAGTGAGTTTTACACTATGTCCTTAATTTCGTCCCTCTGTTCAGAGCTACCTGAATGCTATTTTAAATGCTGGAGCCCCTTTTATAAATGGAAATTAAATTCATTGCTAGCGGTTCGTAACCATACTAACGCATTCTTTTCATCCGTCCATCCTTTCAGATATACTGTAGTGACATGGAGTCATCCTATCCTCGTGAATACCTTCCGCTTCTCTATCTAAATTATGCATCCATCCGACATTTTGAAGAGGAGTGAGTTTTGTATTTGATAGCCTTCAAACAACAAGTCTGTCCAAACTACGGAATTAAGCGTCTGTCCTTACCATGTGCCTCTTGTAATACTATATCACCATCCAGACAATAACCATTGGAGCACTATTGCGATGCAACTAAAAGAAGGTGAACTTTTCACCCTCAGTCTTTGATGGATCACTTGCGTGAATGTGCACCATTTCCCGACATTTGCTTTCATCACATGTCCTTACTGCATGCAGGGTAGTTTTGTGGTTTCACTCTCAGCCTTGCTCCATAAAACTCTATATTCGTTACCAATTCAACATCTAAAGGGACGAAAGAAATTGCTCATCAGCAAATGTCTACCACAATGGGAAAGTGACGGATACCAATGAGACCGCCAACACGACTTTCGAAATTCGGTTGCCCAAGCTACATGAAATCCCGCCAGCCAGCATTACCGTCTTCAGAAAACTACGTATCAACCTCAATTCCTTATATGTTGACAGTGAGTGAGAATCCACTTAGCAGTCTATCTGTTTTTATTGGTTAGCTCATGGCTACCACTGAAGATATGTTATAGTTTCAGAAGTGCTTAAGCAATAGTTAACGAATAATGGACTCACTTTACTTCCAATTCGTTGGACAGAATGTAGTGGTTTAGGTTTGATCACTGCGTCGACGTACTGGGATGAGTCTACAGAAGACCTTATTTGCAACCATAAAATGGCCCTTTTTTACAAAATACGCATGTCCCTTAAAACAACATTGAGCTTCTGCATTTTTAACGAAGCTCTTGAATGATAATGCTAAAGTAGAGAAATCTCATGGTTCAATTTGTGATTATAGTATTTGATGGACGGTTCAGTGAAACGTTGGGAACCCGATTTGTCCCTTACGCATCTGCGAAGTCCTGCTCACGAGGCACTTGTCAGCTAGTAAGTGCGATCTTCACTTCATATTCTATTTTACCATTTCATATAAAGCTAACTTTAAAACAAACTGACACTTTTCCTGTGAGTGCTCGGTTATGTGGCAAAGTCCCTTAATTTTGCCATTTTTACGCTTACATGGTTTGCTTTTGCTGTCTAGGGAAAATTCCTGATAAACCTCAAGGGAACTGGTTTTATTGTTTCAAAAGAAACGCAATGGCGAGCATCCCGACCAGAGGCATTTGGACATATAGCACGCACTAGGGTAAGTTTTTCGATCTTCTGTCAACGCATTGAATCAACTGCATTCAGAAGGGTAGTCTAACATCGAACGCCATTGAATACTCTCCTGAATCCATTCTCCCATCATTTTACAATAGAGAGAATTTTTTCGCCTTACCCTGAGTTATCATTTGAAATAGGGCTCAACGATTGTTATGGGTTCCTGCGGCGGTGACTGTGGCGGTTGTTGGCCTGACCCGTTGCTGAAGCTCGAAGCAGCAGATGCAGCAGAAAGGTGATACGGATGCATCTCCTTCTCAATGACTGGACTTCCAACCATCCCTTCTACTTTTAAGCAATGAGCACCAAAAGAACAAGCTTCCTAATGCGCCTTGCTGTAGCAATTATGCACAAGTGCAGCTTTGCTCAACTCTGAGCTCTGTTGCACATCTATTCACTGACCTTGCCTCTTCCTCTTTTCCTTCTGGTCTTTTATTTTGAAGGTTTTTATTTTTTTAAATCACAGAAAAATGTACATTCACATATTCAATAGACCGACAATCTAAAATCAGCCAATAATACTGCCCGAGACCCTTAATTTGACCCTTCCCTTTGCACTGATGTATACCTTACCAACCCACATTTTTCTTGGCAGAAGACAATGTGACTAGGCGGTATTTTCCTTCTTCGACTACTCACACCAAATAATTCACACCTTATCCACTGGAAATTTTGATTAGACCTGTATCTTAATGACACTAACGCACACTACCCATAGCTATTCTTTTATATTTAGCTGTACGAAAGATACGCTACTACTTCCTCTGCCTGCTGGTGCTCTCAATTGTCAGCATTCCTGATTTCTACAGCCGCGTGACACTAGGTTTTCCGTTTTCCTCCCATTTCTCGTCCCTTTTTTATCCCTCCCCTGTAACAACGAACATCCATGGTCCTCTTCAGTCTTTTCTCTGACCTGAAATCAGCTTTCCCAGGAAGGGGAGAACGCCTTGCCAACCCCGAATTCGGGATGGCGACGGATGGAGCGGAATTTGCCTATCCAACTGAGAGGCTCTTTACGTGGATGTTTCTGTGTGTGCGCATAAAAAACACTTCGTAATTAGAGTTGGATTCAAGTCGTTCCGCGGTTGCACTAATAAATGCATTTTGTATTTTGTGCATAGATTTTCTAGATCATTGATCTTAATGTGCCCGGTAAGGAATGCGCGAACATCAACTCAAAATCACTAAACCTACTGCAATACTTCTTTTCAGTTTACCAATAATTATTGCGGCAAAAAATTGCCTTATTCGTTGTATCGAGATAACCCAAAGTATTACTCTTTTAGACGGCATAGTGGCTAATGTTACCCAATCCGAGGGAGACCCCGGTCAGCCAGCTGCCTGATTAAGTGCGGTAAATGTCCTAAAAACAAATTACCACCGCACCTGAGAGCTTAAGCAGGGTAGGTGAAGGCGACTTGGCGAAGGAGCATTAGTCATCCACCTTAAGAGGGCATAAAATCCTCCACCTGTCAGATCTTTATACGTTCACTTTGGCTTCACATTATTGGTACACCGCAAATAAGTTGCCGCTATTTTGAACTGGGCCCAAAATGCACTCTTAACAACTGCGGTCTCTGCAAATAATGGGTTTTGGAAACGTAATTTCGTTCGTTTTAAACTTTAATGCAGACGAGCTGAAGGTGTTTTGCCAAAGCAAAGAATTTCAGGCATAATAGTTGATTCCATAAGGGAACCATTTTGGCAATAATCGAAGTGTAGCTCAAGAAACCATGCCTAATGGTTCGAAAAAAACAATTTCGGAAACACAATGCCTGCAAAAATAGGGGCACGTATAACCGCCGACTAATTTTGGTGACGGAAGCATGAATGTATCAGCTCAAAAGGCAACCACCTGGGATGACTGTTTCATCGAACAAATATGATCGCATTTCAGAGAGTATGAAGGAGTGGAATCTCCCAAAGGGTCCAGCTAATCCTGTGTTGCAAAAGTGGTAATAGGGAGCGTTGAATAAACGCACTTTAGGTGATCGGTCAGCAGACCTAAAACAATTTAGAAGACCGCTTCACACATGAAAGTAACATTGAGCAATTTTTAAGATGTATCCACCTTCCGGACATTAAGATGCCCACCAACGAGGAAAAGCCAAGCAATCAACTGATCAGTATTAAGTATCAGTACACAGCAGTACGCCAACAACGTATTGTTAATGTGCCGTTGGTAATGATCGTTTGCTAGCTGGGGGCCAACTGTACTACGTAGGTACATAAGCATCGAGTTACCGACCAATTCACAGATCCGCAATCGTCTACACCAGCAACGCCATCTTCACACCGACAGGTTCGTGCATATGATTAACGTTGCACCGTACGTGCAAACAGATTCATTCACCTCTGCATCTAAAGTTGCTCGAAGATTGCACTTAAATGACACTAGAGAAAAGTCGGCCCAGTTAATCATAAGTCTACCTGAAAGACAGTTGGCTCATCTCTGAAGGAGAACACAGATATTACATCAGGAATTAGTATTAACCATCCATCATTAAAACGACAGTAACCCATCGCCAGCTCGACTTCATCAAGCAAAATTGAAGTGCATTATGAACCAAAGCTCCAATACTACAAATTGGGACTTAACGTGCGTAAACGAGCAAGTCTACGGAATGGCAAAATTCAGGTCTGTGAAGCCGAAATTGGTGGATTTATGTACAGGAAGAAACTCAAAAAATAAAGCAAACAGGGCTGTTTCATTAACTGGCTACCGCCAACTACCTTCTGCGATGTTGTCTCAACCGTTGAATTGGTGCAACTAAAACATTCGCAGTTATTTAAGGTACTTAATTCGTGGAACAGAGCGAATAGGTCTAAAGATAGGACCCAAGTTCCTGTTCCTCTACTTCACGCTGCTGTTGCTGACAGGTAAGTGAGTTAGTGATGATTTCGAGGGAGGCTGAAAGGCGTTTGAAAGGGGAATGTGCGAGTGCATTGTTTGTTTTCATATAGTTATTTAGCTCACTAATCACGAGGATGGCTTGCCCGACGAGGGCATCTACCTCGACTTCACCGATTTGTGTGCTGCCATCGTTGACATGCGGGACTCTGAGACGCTCGACCAGGCGCTGACCAAGGACCGCAAGTGTCTGAGACACTAGACTCAGATGAAGTCGTGTGGGAGCATTAACGGTGGAGCAATCAACCATCCGCAGGAGACCGAAGATAAAATCGAACAGATCGAGTGAGCCCCGATAATCTGCAACCAGTGTAATTCAAACAGTTCATCAATTTGGTTCAGCTATAGATACACAACATACAGCATTTCTCCAAAAGGATCATATTCATTTCAAAGTCGGAAAAGGTATGGAATCAGAATGTACCTATCTACGACGGCTTTCGAGTGCATTCCCAGTGACCATTCAACCAGAACTACATGTACCACATTCAGAAAGACCTCAATTCCCGATAGTATTGGCAACCTTCATGCCGCCATCCGTCAAATTAATTCCAAACTGATGGCTCCAGACTTGACGACACTAACAACCTACGCCAAGCTATGAGGAAATGATGTGCTGGCGGCTAACCAGGTGAATGACTATCAATTCGTCCTGCATCTCCTCTTTCATGTGTACGTTATAAAACCGAGCCACACACCTTCGATTGTTTGCTTGCCCCTAATTGACTCAGCCACTAACTGACTCAATGATCCACCGACCAACTGAATTGTGATGCAAAATGCTTTGCATTGAAAATTAAAGCAAACAAACGGATGATTGGTTATATCCTATTCTTCGCTCACTAATCACTTATCACCTCGAAAGCAGGCATCATCTTACTGCCACAGACTACTCCTGGTTTTTGGTACGACAGAGCACAAACGAAGGCCCAATGATCACAGCTGGGAACCATGTACTCTAGGCTACTTTACACAATTTAAGGATGCGAAATGAAAACTTCGTCTCCTAAAACAAACAAGACCAATAGTAAATCTGTCAGAAGGAAACAGTGCCTTGTCAAAGCAAAGCTAGAGCTCATTCTTGAGGTCTGCGCACCTCTCACGTTGTTTAAAGCGGCTCCCACTTTTTCTTGTAATCAGACACGGACATGCAACATAAGCAGTTCGAAGATACAAGCACAATGGAACTTTTGTTGGATAAGATATTATGAAAGCATGAAACTTACTTCCTAGGAGTATGTCGTGGGGCTGGGAGACAGAAGGAGAGGAAAAGGCGGTAGATCTTAACTTGAATGGAAGGCTGATAAGACAATGGAAAGAGAGTTGGTCCACAAATCCAACTGCGCGGGCCCAGCGTTCCGCCGCGTCGATCTCATCTAGCGGTGCTATTCGGTGAAGGAACTAAAGGGAGAGGTAGGAAACCCATCAAAAGATGCACAGACAAGTAGCTGAATGATTTCAAACACTATCAATGATAACCAGCGCTTTAAGAGTAGGGAGAGTACATAAGAGGTCTTCGTTGACATTTGGACACATGTTGCACAAATTGAATGGGAAAGGAGCATCCCAAAGAGGGTAATAAAACACTTGCGGGATGCACATAGTTAACTAAGTAAACTTTGAATTAAAAATTGTAATTTTACCAGTGAGAATGGGCCCAATAACTAATTTGCAAGCCTTCGAGACTAACTGCGTCAAGCGTTCAACAAAGTCATAAAAGAGCAGGCAAATGGGAGAGGCCAAATACTGTCGGTGGCACACTTTCAAGACAAATTGCGGAATGCCTACAACGCCTGACAAGAGGCCATCAAAACAACTTTCGGTGGCTGAGGCCAAGGTCAATCAGAACGCTAACCGTAAAGCGCGCAATAAAACCGCCCCAGCCAGTTATCAACACAGAGGGCATTGCAAAACATTCGTTGCTGGAGCACATAACCAATCTGCAGTTTCGTTATCACGCCAACCCATGCCTTACCGTGTGAAGAGCAAGCAGCAGAGTGGGCGGTGAAATGCCGTTCCAAAGACTCCAAACCTCAGGGTCCCGGGAGAACTTCAGGATGGAAGTAACAATTGCATACCACGTCCCATCACAGAGGCTCACTAACTGGAGAACCTCTTCCACATCAGATGGCAATAGCGGTTTCGCGAAGTGATTGAAAGGATTGCTAGTTTGTGGCGACTTGGCAGCAAATTTGAAGCGATTCTTGGTGCTAGGCCAATAAAAGGGAAATTAATAAACCTGTTTATCTAAGGGCAAGAAACAGCAAACATAGTGACATCCTATTAATGGATATTCAAGATAAGAAGCTCCTTCCTGGTAGCGGCGTTAAAGCCGATTAAAATCTCAATTGCAGACATTCCCTTATAGTGCGCAATGCTATGTTCATGGATCGCCTTGTAAATGAAGATCATATTCAGTGTTCCAAACAGCAAATATCTTTGTATAAAGTATTTGGGTTTTAAAGAAATCGCACTGAATTTGGGAAAATGCTACTTTTAGCAAGGTTATCCTCTTCTCCGCTCGTATATAATCTTGTTGCAAACTTGAAAACGCTTGCGCTACATAAATACAAATGCATAACATTACTGAATCAGAACAAATCCGATCAACAAACTCCCGACTCATCCAATGCGAGCGGATGGAATTTAACGTATAACTCAGATCTTTTAAAGTCCATTAAATTTAAAAGTATTATACTGTTCAATTGACTACTCATTAATAAAGTTTGAAGCAAGTAAAAGGATCTCCTGCATAGAAAGACGGACATTTATTGAACAGTCGAAAAGGAATGCCTTACAAACCATAACACACCCTAGAATTTAATCAAAACCGATATTCAAAGTCAAATGTCAAATTTTAGCGAGATAAGTGTAAAGCACGCCCGGTTGGAAAAAAATAGTTCTTTAGCAAATGATAGAACAGCGAATTTCGAAAATAAATACCATCGAGTCAGTGATAGCAACCAGTGCTGGTGATCGCAGTAACACTGGTAGTTGCAGGGAGGGCGAGTGGGAACGATGGGAGGCAGGTGCATATACATAAGCATACGTAAACAATGCCCATGTATTTAGCCACGTAAACATGCACACTAGCTTAGCATCCTAGATCCTGTTAATAGGGTCGCTCAAGAACCAAATCATCTACCTACTGGCCCAGGCATAAGACCACTTGCGATCCATAAACACAGGCCACAATGTTGGCAACACGAAATCTGCTGATTAATTACTTCTGTCTGAATCGCCTGGTATGTACGCGTATGTAAATAATACAAGAGACAAGTCAAATGGACAAGACACCATCAATTTAACCTCTAGACGTCCCTAAAAGTGATAACCAGTTTCCGTGGCTTCATAATGATACTTAGACATATGACATTTAAAACACCTTGGCAAACCGTAATCTAGGGTATGGTTGAATGCGGTTTCATTTGGGAGGACATCGAGCCCAACCAATAATAACTAGACAATTTCCATCACATGACGACAACATCAGGATTACGGTTTTGGGCCGTTAATATCTCTGATCAGTGGATTAAAAGCAGAGGTAAACAAAAGTAGAAAAACATAAGCACGAAGAAACTGAGGCATACTTATGCCTCATGGGCTTATACTTATAAGCCCATTAAAGCTTTTATTCAAAAGAGCTTTCTAAGAAATCGGTGTCAGTGAAGCCAAAAAGTGATACAGGGACCGACAGGTATGTAGGTGCTTTGCTTGTCTCAAGGGTACAAGCATAGGACGCTAAAATATCTTCGAACCAGTGCCGATGAAGTTTGCGTGAAAAATATGCCCAAGGTGTCAGCGGCCCGATTTCTGAATAACTGACTCCAAGCTAAATGGTCAAAACATCCCTCAACTGTACCTATTTCAAATCTGTGTAAAAGTTGAGAGGATTGTAAAACTCACTAACCTCATTCATCTAAATTCAATGTATTAGCTTTGAAGACCACCCGCACCACTGCCCCTAGATCGGAAGGCAAACATTCAATTTCAAGAGTAAAAACATCCTTCGCAACCGAATAGCAACTAGGCAAAAACCTGTGCCATATGGACGTGTAAAAATGGATGGAAACGAATAAACCGGAACCAAGGATGTAGGCAGTAACAATGTTGAAAGTTTTAAATATTGGCCTTCAACAAACGCTTAGGGATAAGAGGCATTGAAAGATTGGAGTTCTGCCACCTTCTCTAAAAGTACATTAAGTACCCATTGCTATTGTGAAAAATAATAATGATAAGACTTTGATTCAGGTGGAGAACAGAAGAGCTGAATCAAACACAAGCAACGCGAAAAATGCGATTGAATGTGAGAACCAAAAGGCCACCTTCAGAAAGATGACATATAAGTGGCTCCCAGGTGGAATTCGGATTACGGAGAGCTAAAATGAGCAAGAAAGTCACGAAAAAGAGACCCAATTTATGCCTTATTAATGCTTTGGGTTATTTTGAAAACCAGAAACCCCAACAGATTGAACGTCGATGCCAGGTGAACACCTGTTTTCGCAACGTGAAATGCCATTATTACGGTTTGGCCGTAATACCACATTCTCAGTGCATCACCAATGCATTGAAAATAACTTAAAAATAAGGGAAAAATCGGCGCCCAACAATAATAGCAAGAGGAACGAAACAGCTTTAGCAATAAATTTCTGTTAGTGACGATTTAGAGACTGGCGGCATGGTAAAGCGACACATCACGTTCAAAAACCTCAACCAGATCAAGCTTCTCAGTTTGAATAACTTCAACTTATTAGAATGTGTAAAATTCATAAATAAAATCGGTTGTGCAAGGGAGTTGAATGCGCGTACCCAAAGGCAATTTTCCAGCGGCATTAATTATCGGTACCTCTACATAAGTGGTAAAATAATTCATTTTGATTACACGTAAATTGAAATAATTGAAAAAAATCACATTTGAAAACTTATAGACACTTCACGCAATGCTTTTCTAAGAAGGACATTGACGATAGGAAAACAATGCGCAATAACGAGAGTACCATGGAAACCCAAAATTATCTCCATGAGAGTGTCTTCCCAAAGGCGCACCAAACAGACCTTTCATTAAGCGCAGTGACATCGATGAGGTTGGAGCGGATAAGACAATGAGGTAGTGTGATGACTACAGTGCCAAGCAGATCGGAGGGGAGGAAATCGACGCACTGCATGAGCAGACGGCGATCGCGATCTTCAGGATCGGAGAGGACAGCGCGTAATCGGTTTGCCAGCGTACGGAAAACAGAGTCCGGATTCTGATCAGTGGCCGAATCGCCAGCGGTCAGGAGAGTAACACAGATGCGCACCGTCAAGGGTGTACGCAGACGCTCAAGGAGGCTGACACAAAGAACCGCGAAGATTCCCAAAGGCAAGTCGACAGGGACTCGAGGCAAGAGAAGGAGTGCCAGGCTTTGCACCACCAATTCTGCCCGCGCCCGCACTGAGAGCACTTCCTCAGTCACCAAATCCGTCAATTGTGGCCATGTTGATGACTACGGGAGAACGCAGTCGATTACGTATTGCGCTTCAACGAGCTCACAAGCGCCATTAAACCCAACTTTAGTCCAATGGCGACTGAGTAACTTTTTTAATGCCACAAATGTAAGTGCTAAATTTTGCTAACTTCGTAATAGTTTAACGTCGACAGATTATTTAAGGTAATTCCAACCATATCAGCAATAAATGTTCGAAGATGTCAAGCCGAAAGATGACTATAGGGTTGGTAGATTTCATAGAGACCGGTGAAGGTGAAAGGGTATGGAAACCCTTGGCATAGTGGGTGTGTGTGCATGGTGTCAGAAGTAAAAACTGAGGTTCGGGTGAATGTCACCTTTTTCACCTCCAGTCCGACACACGCAAATGGCAGAGGTTACGTCCAAAAGAAAAGGCAGTCAGATCTCTACAAATACCACAGCTCTCGGTGGTAGGTGGTACAAGGATGTGTAGTTTTTGCTGTCATTGATGCTACTGTTACTGCTATTGGAGCCGATGCAAAGGAGGATATTACGGTGACAAGGGCCGCAATTTGCATGCTATATTATGGGCAGAGCATATATTGACTGAGCTTGAAAAGTGACTTTCAATTTTTGACAGAAACGACTGTTAAAAGAATGCCTGCTCAACTTGAGATTTCCCAATGGGTATAGGAAAACCTAAGCCAACTTGTACGCAAATAAGCTGAAGCGCATATATTAGAATCGGAATCGGAGACTAACAGAGTATAAAAGATTTATTACTTAACAACTATCCGAAATGGAAATGTCCTTTGTCCAAGAAGCAAAAAAAGACACCTCATGACCTCATTTACCTTGTTGCAAAAATAAATAAGATACAAAGAATTCTAAAGTTGGGAAGGTAAAATACTGGAAAAAACTTTGTGCGAGCGTTGATTAGTAGAACTCTCCTAAAGTGGTAATTAATTTGTAAAATAATTTGGGCAGAAACAACCGATTCCGTATTTATAAATACAACTAGCGAATGTCAAACAAAATTATACCACTGCACATCAGTGAGGACTCCATTAATCACCCAATAATTGCATCATAAAAGCACCTCATGACAAAGCTTTTGAACTGCATCGACACAATACAAAGGCCTTTCAACAACTTGCCGCATCACAAAAATGTTATTGTAAAACAATTCTCTGCAAAATCCTGAAATGCAAATGGTAATTTTAGTGAACAGCTTAATGTGCCGACGTCAATAAAATGCGTAACTACTCGACAGCGGCCTGATCAGGTATGACAAAGCGTTTTTGCGCTGTAGGTGCGAAACAGGCCAAGTTAACCAGGTCTTAGAATGATACAAGTCATGCAATCCCGCTTGGATTGCTAACGTATGAGCCTATTATTATGTAAAACGGTAAACAGAGCTTTAGCGTTCGTACAACATAAACTAACAAGAATGAAATACATTTAAAGTTAAGTAGAAGCACAGTCATTGACGCCCTTTCGTAATGACTAGGCGTAGCATTCAGTAGTTAGTCCGTCAATGACTTTCACTCGAGGAAAGAAGTTGGATAAAAGTAGAGTTGAAGCTGTCACTTGACCGGCATCCACTCATAATTTACATCACAACCAATGTTGCATGGAAGGAGACAAGCGGCTAAGTCTAATAAAGTCTTCAGAATTTGCCACTAACTAGGAGCGTGATAGATAGGGGATGCAAACCAAAAATTATCATGGTGGTTAAATATTGCATTGCTTTCTTATGAAAACTTCTATATGTAAGGAGCTAGTTAAGAGACGCTACAGCTTACGCAGAATGCAAATATGCGGAAGCATTTGGAAATGCAGTAGGCAAAGAAGTCAGAGGTAGAGGAAGGCCGACAGTATGCATATGACGACCAGATGAACGCCTACATACCCGCCTCTGATGCACCATTACAATCGGCAACGGATATGTCAGTAAAACGCGACAATTTCCCCAAACATAGAGTTTTCATTATTTACTGACGCGTCTTAGGGCAAAATAAACACGACCATATGAAAAAAAGCGTTGCAATCTCAAGCCCTAATTCGGTGACACAACAGTGTTAGAATAGAGATCATTCATAATTACCGAAATAACTCTTCGTGAATGATCACTGCTACCAGATTAATTAAAAATAGGGACAGATTTAGCCTACATATCTCAGTCTGTCCAATAATGAATAAGAAATAAAATGTGGTCGAAAAACCGACGAACCAAGCTTATCAATTGGTTTTAAGTACTGTTTCTAATTTACGCCTCCTTAGTTGAACTTTAAAGGGGACTAAATGGTTGGGTTTGTGTCAATAGATTGTAAAATTGCACATATTATTAGTGATTGGGAATTGACGTCAAGAGTTCCGCTAGACATAAACACATCTTCAAATCGATCCTTCAAAAAATTACCTGGTCGAATATGCAGCCAAATGTGTAGATCCAAAGTTTTCGTAGACGAGAAGTCGAAGCAATCGCGTCGTTGCTACCATCCTCAGCTGTAATGAACGAGGAAGCAGCAAAGAGAGCGACATGAGCGGAAAGAGAAACTTGTGAGGGGTCAATTCCACCGCTCCGAGGCAGGTATCTCATCAACTCAATCCTCTGGTAGCGTTCGCCTCGCCAGACTCCATTCATATCCTCCTTTGTCGACGTCTCCGTCTCGAAGAGTGCTACGAGTTCATTGATCAGCTGTTGCAGCACCGAGTTCTTGCTTCCGTCTACATGAACTTCGAAACTGTAATTCACATGACTGAGGATCTATCAATCGAGATGAACGAGATACATTCTTAATGAGCCCTAGGAAATACACTATCTCTAAAAAAACAGACTTTGAGACAAAAAAGGTTTTTATCCCGTATCAATTGGTTTAATGACTACATTGATTCCAACAAGGTATAGCGTCACGCATCAACGATTTGCATTCCACTATAATAATCGCATGAATCATAACAATCACGATACTGCAGTTATTTTCCGACTCTTGCAAAGAAGCATAACTTCACAACGTCGGTTTATACAAAGTTCGAAAAGAGGGTAGGTAGGTTTAAACAATTTTTGATGCCAATTCAAAGTTGAATTCTTTTCTAACTGACAAGCTAAGCCAGCGAGCTGTTCGGCATCAGAGATGAATTAATAGCTAGGCAATAATTAAGATAATCCAAAAATCAATGAAAACGTGAACGAACTTTATAGACAACAGGAAACAGAGCAGCAGAATTTTGAATGATGGGAAAGCGCATCAATTCGACAAGAAAGTCTATTGGTCGTGTCAGCAGCAATAGATCGGCATCAATTAAGGCCTAAAAGTACAATAATATTTGCGAAATTGATCTACTTAAAAAGTTAAAGTACAAATATAATAAAAGCAGCACTTCTTTGGAAATGGTGTCTGCCGCCCTGGGATCGCGCCACGGTTTATCAAGCGCTGAAGCTGGTTTCAGATCTGTCAATCCGGGTCCAGCTGCAAGACGATTGAAAAATTTGCGCAAATAACAACGGAATTTTGAGTCTTCGGACGAGAGAGGAGTGAAGCATTCGTCAGGCCTCTCGTGAAGATGAGCCAAGATATCAGACTTGGTGTCTGGTGCAAGGAGCGATACCAACTCCTTCATCAACTAAACATATGCACACATGGAAGAAATATATTGGTAGTAAAAGAAAGCAAGCTTCGGAACTGTTATGGTGCCGAACTAAAATCCATACCTAGTTTAATAACTACGGGAGATAAAAGGAACTAAACGATTGTAAGTATCACAAATAATACTGACTCGCAGTGCATCATAGATGGATGTCATATAGTGTATTTCCGGGCCAAAAAGGTTCCTTAATATTAGCTTATACAAAAGACTATAAGGTATATTTTAAAGAATTATTTCAAACCAAAAATGGCAAATGTAATGGGAACCTTGATTCACCAATAATATGAACGATTTTTAGCATATTTCGACGACGAAAAACATAAAGCTGGATTATAGCAGCCAATAGTTGTTGTCCAAAAAAGCTTGCATTTACTTAAAAATGGATAACTCAAGATGAAGAGAGCCGTATTGAACGAGAAAATGTGGCAAATCTAATTCAAAATATAGCATACCTTTTCGTGGTGATTAGTTGGTAAGTTAATCCGGCGAACACTGCTTATTTTTCGAACAAGTGCCAAGGAAACATCGGAGTCTTCGGTCAGCAAAGAGACTTGCTGTATCAGTCGGGGAAAAATTCTAAAAAGTAAAACCACAAGACCTGAACATAGATCAGAAGGCATTTTGGATTATAGCTAAAACGGAGTAAGATCAAAACAAATAATACTTTACCAATTAGCAATCAGAAAAGACCAGAATCATGGGTTTGACAATGAAATTACTTCAAAGTGGTGTAATCTTACAACAAAGTATAACTTACTTCGCCGCGCACAAAGGATCGTCAAAAATGGGATTTTTCAGAAAAACCAAGGCAAAATCTAAAGTGCAAGGAGACCATGGGCTAGATTCGTCGCCAAAACGACACAGAAACCATAGCCAAGCCCGGTGACGTATTAAACTCAACACATTCGGAACATCTAGCATGCAAAATGGATCAGTATGCTGAGATTCTCACGATGCACACAGAAAGTCCTTCTACCTTAAACACCATCGATGTAGTACTAAGGTTTTAAATGACCATGTATGCAATGGAGACACAGCATGATCCCAAAACCTGCTCACCTTTTACGAAAATACCACGGTCAATAGCCCACGCCATCAAGTCAGCATGACTATATTCGGAGCTAGTAAGGGAAGAAACAAGAAATCGCTGCAAGCATGCAAGGTCACGTATGGTTAAGTGCCTATTCCACTTGGAGGAGAATTGGGTCCTAGAATCCGGGAGGCGAGAGAGAAGGTGGCAAGCTCGAGCAAGATATAAATTGTGACCCAGATTAATTCGAAGCCGTAAAGTTTGATCTCGGAATTGAGGTACAAAAGCTGACAAATGGGACAACTCAAAGACAAATTGACCGCATACTCTAGAAGCAAAATAGATGTTAGTGTTTGATTCACATCAAATGGCCATTCAAGCGTCTCGAAAATAAGACTATGGAATACCTAGTTAGTCTTAGTTGATAAGATTCACATTAAGCTATAGATCTCAATCCCTGAATTCCGTCTTTAATGCATTCTTACTTGCAGGACTGATGAAGAAAAGATGAAGCAGACATGAGGAAAAGTTCGAAATCGACATCATTCGTTATATGGCATTTGTCATCAGGCTCCGATATTTTTTCAAAGGCCAATCCGTATAACAAACTTAGGTCGTTCGAATCATGACTACGCGGTTGGAAGTTACACTCAGAGACATTGCTAAAAGTTTAAAGACGAGACTAAAGGTGGGACAAAATTTAGTAAAGCAAGAAAAAGGGAAAAAATTACCCAGTGCCTATCCGTGAAAGACTGCACAAAGCCTTATCCACAAGACGAAGAACAGAGACGAATACGATTTCCCATGAGCAGATTTCGGAGCTGACATATACAGAGCGTTCCGACATGAAGGGCCACTTAAGAGGCGCAGAGGAAATCCGGTTTATGAGGACGTTTGAAACGACTTCTGCAAGCAATTGCTGAGAAGGAAGGGCAAAACATTCCCGCCAAGACAATAAGCAGAGTTGAGCAAGAAGGACTTCTGTTTTCCCACTTTGCGATACGCTAGTAAGGTGAGTTAGAAAATCAGCAAAAAATTTTCCTAACGACAACAATGCGACCTCATCAAGTTTCATCATCAACTCCGACTAAAATAAAAATAAATTAGTTTGGTAGCAGAGAAAGACTAGTAGTTGCAAACATAGTATACTGCAAATTACGTCAGACTCAAAAATGTAACCAGCGTACATCAAAAAATATATCCAGTATAGGGAGTTTTTCCATAAATGAAAACAGAGAGCCCAATGAAACCTCTAAGTCACTTGAAAGTCTCACAGACTCTGCAGAGCAATGCGTCAGCAAGGTGGCATTAACAAGATTAACAGACAAGGTTCTCAATTCCTCATTACTGAATCGACTTAACTGTCGAACGTCCTCATCTCCAACAACTTTTTTCTAAAAAAACACATTTCATATGCGAAACTACATACACCAAAAAGCACAGGAAGTTCGTGGAGCATGAACTCATCCATCATATTACATCACCAAAGGAAGGATTTCGCATGCGCAAGGGTCAAATGACATAAAATATTACACTCGTCGACAGTAAAATGTTTGGCCGGAGTGTGAAGAGGAGTGCCAGCACGGACACCTGAAAAGGCGTCCAATAGGAATCTCAATTTAGTCTGCTCAAGGCCACAAAAGCACACGTTTACCGGGTAAGGCTTAGTGTTAAGTAACCACCAGATATTTTTTTCCGGTAATTTGCACCTCTACTAATTTATACGTACATTATTCTGACATTCGATAATTATACAATTAGGAAACACCTGGTCAACGTTAACTTGTAATATCGATATAAGTGGTGTATGGCAGAGAGGTGCAGAATCACGGTGAGCCGTGCTTCATATTAGAGCCCAATGTTGTCTAGGGTGTTTTTTGTAACTTCGGGTTGCCTAATCTGCAGTTAACGAGGTACACGTACTCGGTAGCTATCATTTGATCAGTTGGGCCGCATTATCATATGCTGGGTCAGAGCATATTCCAGACTGACTAATAGGTCACTTTTGATCCAGCATGACAAATTAACTCTTGTATAGGTGTTGCAGAACGTAAGCGTTATTGATTCAATCAAAGCAACCCTGAGTTTTAGCTTTTCGCGGAGGTGGGTTACACTTTCCTGGGATTAGCAGGGAACGAGTTTGTAACTATAACTGCCACTAAGGATTTATTTACATTACTTCACAGTAGTCTTCATACCGTGGGGGAAAGAATTTTGTTCGCATACTGCTCCCTTCCCAACTGATTTAATACTGTAACTGCTGAAACTGACCCTGTTAATATTGTGATTGCTACGTGGTTAGCATATTGGGAACTCCTCCTTTTTTATTATGCCCGAGTGTCCTGCCGTTGTTTCCAGCTCTCACTAGGCCTTCACTCGCACTCTTTTGACCTAACACAAATGCCACTCCAAAGAGGTGCAAGCGATTTCAAAAAGGCCTTTTTCGCTGCGTAAGCTCGCGATCTCCAAGACTTCATGTGATTCTAGAGGCGTTTTGATGGGTCTGAGTTTTCTCGGATTCTTTGCTTCGATCAGGTATACAGAACGCCTCCAACGGGAGCATTGGCAAAAGAAACGTGAAGTGCTACGACAAAGGGAAAACTTTGGACGCGACCCCTGACCTCCGCCATGATTTCAATCAACTCACCCCCACTTTTCCAATAATACGAAATGTAAAATATAGCTAATAGAGAACCATTAGTGAGTCAGTTTTTATTGATCAACGGCCCGATACTGACATTCTCTTCGGCGTCTAATAGCATAATTGGGAACAGGCCGTAAGAAACTCCATGTTACCAACCAACAAAAAAATACATGTTTCACCCGTGTGGCACCGCAGGAGGGAACCAACTCTCAGCTATTTTGCTTTCGCAGTCGCACGTTCAGTGAACGCAGTTTTAGCAGCAGATACAATTCTCACTTTATACGATTAGCCACATAAGCAAGTACGGCAGCGTGCAGAACTACACGGTTATTTGCTAGTCTGAAATAATGCGACTCAGGAGAATCGCAGTGTTTCGGGCATCAGCAATGCCACTGTGGGGTCGACCCTCAAAGGTGAGTCCAGCAGCACTCATAGCGTCTTGAAGGCGGCCTTGGAACTTCGCCTTCGAACCCATTTTACTCATTGCATACCATTGCTATAACAAATTTGTAAGCGCAGCTAAATGGACTACCTTAAACACGGCCTTCAGGTCGATTCTTGTCAGCAAATCCACTGGGAGCGACAGGCGTTTTCGTTGACACTCACCCCATAGACACGTACGGATGTCCCAATCTATTTTTTACAGAAGTGCAGATCCTACTAACCAGTCCAAGTAACAAAAACAGCAGCGTTAGATCTGCCCAACTTAAAGACGCAATCGTACTCTTTCTTCTTTAGTTCTAGCCAATTTTCGAACTCCTGCAAGACTTGCTGCAAGTCGGAAGCTGTGTCCACAGTTCGCTGAAAAAAATGACTCATAGGTCTTAACAAACTTGGGAGATCCCCGTCAGTTTCTTGCAGAAATCACTAAGTGTAGGGCTTTCGGTCGGTCGAACGTACCGGTGAAATTCATCAACAACTTGTCCGGTTTCTGCCTGAACTACGACTACTGGGAACTCAACTACTACTTCCATGCATCACTGCAAACTTACTTATTTCAGCCTTAATTCCAGAATTCGGTTTCACGTCACACGTTGATTCAAAATCTAGCACAAAGTACCAACGTACTAAAAACTAGGTAGAATTAAGTAATAACATTTACTTGTATTCGGTGACAGAATAGCTGGAGGTACGACATGATACACGCAACCAAGGAAACTAAGGTGTAAAGAAGATAAATACGAGCAATACTCTGCAAGTTTCAAAGTTTGTTCCATTGGTTTAAAGCTGGCAGGGTTGCATGAGATCGACATATATCGAGCTGAATCACTGGTAGTGAATTTAAGCACTAGCAACTCCGCAGGCTGAGCTCTTAAACCGCCAGCTGAAGTCAGCCAGTAATTTGTCAGCTTTGATTGCCAGTAAGATCGCGAGGTTTTAATGACTTTAAAAGCGGTTACTGATCATTGTGCATTGTAAACTCAGTTTAGTGTTGGCAAACCTCTGTGAAGGATTGATAAAATGGCTTATGACCGATGGTGAAAAAATCACTCTGGAGCATGTTTTCACATGAAAACCCTCGGTCTCAAATCATTCATATGACGAGAATATCTTGTTCAATTCACCCAGTTATCGACCCTGAACTTCGTAATCGGTAAGGGAAGGCATTTTACCTAGGTTGGATGTCCAACGGAAGCCGTTGCGACCGTTTCCAACAGTTAAAAACAGTATTGCAAGCGGTGTTCAAGGATTTCCATACAGCCATTGTAATGTATACAGAGGCGGGAAAGGAATTCGAACACGAATTTAGTACATGATGTCAAATAAAGCCACCTCAACTAACTCTGTCCTGAAGTCGGAGGTTCAGGGGCCTGAGGGTAGGCAGGCAGGCTCTTCAGCCCTATCACAGATAAATAATTCGATGCTTCGCTTGTAATGCTTTGTTTATGTGAATACCTGACATTCGGCGGTCACTTTAGGATTCGTCTGGCACTTGTGCGCGTGGGCTGGCCTTCGGGCCACGCTGAGGCCCATTTGCTTTGTTCTCTTTGGAGCACATGTATCCAGCCTCACTTACTGTCTTCTTCCACCCTATGGGAAGTCTCGGGATGCTACATCGCTATTCAGTAGTTTGGGGCGGTATTTGCAGTAATTTGTCTCCTTGACTGTTGGTTTTGGTTGAGAGCACATATGGAAATTACATTGTGTTTGTCCGGTCGGCTGTTCTTTAGGTCGTCTTAGGGGACTCAACCCCCTCTGTTTTCGCTAAACCCGTTTATTTCACCGAATCACTATGGTTTCTGCTCTCCATTGAGCTGTCGTAGAACACCGCATTGGTAGTAGCGAAAAGCGGGCTCGTCTCTGCATCAACTTTTCTTTTAATCCCTTCCCATTGTAGCAAAATTTAATGGTACGAGAGAAATAAATATTGCTAAGAAGGACAGGTTCTTCCTCTGTTCCATACTAAAGCTGTAAGCAACAGTATCAAAACCTACTGTGAGCCACGTTGTTAAAGCTTCTTTCTTGAAGCTCTTCTATTACATCTGCACATTGACGCTGGCAATGGTTATTCACGTGGAACCCAATTTGGGTGGGATTGTGCTGAATCCGGGGCTCTTCTTGACAACCCTGTTCTCAAGCCAGTGTTCCGGCTAGCCATGGATATATGATAGTTAGTGGATAAGACTGCAGATCCACGTGAATTTGCTAAGAGGGATCGGCAAAGCTGAGGTCAAGCGTCTACCTTCAGTCACACAGGAGTTGATGCTCAGACTGTGATATCTGGCGTAGGGTTTCATGGTTGAGATCGCCGGGGACGCAGTTCACATAAGGAGAGGAGTCATGCAATGCTTCGTTTGACCGTCAGTATTTGTTGTGGTCGCTTAAGCAGCCACATTGTCTTGGCTCAGTGAGATGGCCCCAAAGTACTGATCTCCTTCCTCTTGCTGAACGTGTATGTTCGACTGAAGTACCATGCATTCTAGTTCGTAAAAAAGAGTTCCAAGTCACTGTAAATCTCGGTAGGGTCGCACTAACCGGAGACATTTCTCTGATAATAATGAGCTCTTCAGTTTTATTTCACAAGGACTTGCTGCCTTTGATGGGAAGTTTTTGGTTGGTATGGTGCGCATTTTTTAGAAAACTTTAGCATCCATAATTGGGCTCAGATATTTCTTTAATCTCCACCAATGCAAGTTTGTACCTCAGCTGATTCTATTTGCATTTTCGTAGTAAGCATAAACCTCAGTTAACTTAGTTGATTTTGTTAAATTTCAATAGCATCCTAAAATTACTGTGGATGTAGCTTGATGGCAATCAGTTCCTTTCAATTTTTGACATTTTGCAGAATCCTGGTATTTGGTCTTATCTAGTTTAAGCCATCAAGTTTTTTAGTAGATTTACCTTTTTCGTGAAGGCGGTTTTATTAATTTCTTCCGTTGCCGTGTTCTTAAGTCATGCCTTCGTTCAACATGCTTTCATGCCTTTATAGTACAATAATCCACTTAAGACTTTGAGGCGGAATGCTTGCACGCACCCTAGTCCCTAGGACTAATCAGTAAATGCTCACACGCTTTCATTTGTACCATGTCTTTGCCTGAACGTAATGCAACCATAATAATTTCACTTATTTACATGTTTCTAAATGGCTATTGGTATACTACTTGCGCAGGTACCCTTAGCATTGCCGCTAGGCCACACGCTCCACCCAAATCTGTCAAATAGGATGAACTCGAAAAAAGTAGCACAAATTCTGGACTGTCACAATTAACGATGAAGAAAAGTAGTTGAATTTCGCGAAAACAGCCATTACTAGGATGAAGACTGATGCTTACGGACTTCCGTTCCCCGTCTTCAAGGGCGTCTCAGAGCGCCACATTACTGTTACTCAAGTCACACGTATTAATCGGTTTTGCAACTATGAGATAATTGAAAGAGTACATTAAAATAGTCAATTAATACAATCAGTCACGTTTTCCTGTGCACGCGAAAAGAATAAGTCAACCGGATTAGCAAGTTTCCTAGTTTTTCCCCATTGTTTCGAAAATCCAATCAGTGAATCTGACCACCCGTGTGAAAACGGCAGGATAGTTCTCCGGTTTTTTAGCATGAATGGCAGATGTTACACCAGCAAGTAATCGTTCTCCTTCAAATTCGCAAACCAAAGGACCCCCGCTATCACCCTAAAAGGGAAAGCGTCAGTACGATTGTCTTATTACAATTGCGATCGGTCTCACACCTTCTTATAAGGCCATATCAAAGATAGGAAAAGACCTGTTTGACTTGGTTGGTCTGCGTTGTGATCTACCATCAATGCCACTCTATGGCAGCAGTTGTGCAATTCACTGGATGTCCAAACAAACATGTGATCAATGTCTTCATTTTGCTAAAGTCGATGTAGACGTAATCCGTCTCCACTGAAGTTATGAGCACCAAAGCTTTAACAACAATACAAAGTCGATTATCACAATGCCAACTAAGTACTTAGGTATCTTTGTTTTGATATTGCTCCATGAGATGTAGAAATCAACTACCAATGCCATCCTCTCTGTTGCCATAAAAAGGGAGGACGGTGAGCTTCAAGGATGAGTTTGTAGAGAATCTGTAAAGTGGACCAAGAAAGCCTGTGCGAAATCGGTAAATTTGAGCTTATAAAAATCAAATTGCACATTTGGGGACTGCTATTATCAACTATTATTATGATTATCAATCATGTTAATGCGAACGTATTTATTTCAAAAATAGTTCTGATCTGGTAGTCCTTTTTAACCCTGCAAAGTTGTCAAAACAAGACTGCTGTTCTAATATAACTGGTTCGAATTTGCAGTTTTTACGCTTAATTCATTGTTATTGTTGCCCTGCGGCATCCACCTATTTTTGACATCTCTAGTTGTTTCAAAATATACATTGGTAGCTAGTAGTAGTTGATAAATGTGAGGGAAGGAGAAAGAAATTAGCATACATTGTACATCGACGGTAAGGTTTCCGGTCGCTGGTATGTAGATGACAATCCTACAACACTGACACCAACGGAAAGTTGGGTGGTTTGTGAGGCGTCGATGAAAGTGCTTTTAAGAAAGCTAAATCCTACTACACTCTTAGTCAACCTCTTCTAAGAGCAGAGTAGTGCACGCCTGTCTCAATCGTGCGGTATGTTCCAAAGGCACTTACTGAACAAATGCCTATATTCTTCTTGAAGTACCCGGCGCAGAACTCGTTGGTCTCGGTCAGGTTGATCGAGACCTTGAACATACCTCTGCACTTCTCTGGGCTAATAATAGGCATGTTGACGACTTTCATATACATCTCCGGCGGGCAATTGATGCATGCGCTTCCCCAACCAACCGCAGAACAATTCTCCATGGATAAAACACAAAAGGAAAACAATCTAGAAGTTGCATTGAGGATTTCACTCTACTATGGCCAAGAGCGTTATATTTGCATTTATATCTAAAAAAAGCATTATCCGTCCCAATAGCACTGTAACATTAGTACTAAGGGTGAATTTTCGGCTATGGTGAAACGCTACAAAAAGTGTGACGATTTGAAGCATTTTGCTGCGGCAAATTCGACAGCTTACCTGTCCTGTTTTGGGCCACATTTTCCCCACTATATGAGGATTTGGAAGTGGTAAAACATCCAGCAATTTCATTCGATGCACAAGAACGTGCTCCTTCAGCTTCAACAGAGCAATATCGTTTTCGAGGAAGCCTATAAAAATTCTCAAGATGGGATTCTCAGGTCATAGACCTTACATTTAAAAAATCGCTCAAGAGTGATGATGCTACCAGTATATGAATACAACTTGTTAACACTGACACTGCTCCACTTACCCTCCACGTAGTCTGGATGAAGAATTATTTTTTCTAAGTGATAGAAAGTCTGTGGCTTTCTGTATCCGAAGAGTGTATTGAAAGCCCGGTGAAATAAGCCCTTCATACGATCGATCACTGAAGGCTGTGCAAAGGGTTAACATTATGCCAGTTCATAACCCCTTCATAAGATCTGTGTGACAGTGGATAACACATTTTGAAAGGATAGAGGGAAATGGCGTATTTCTTGGTAATTAAAGACAAGTAATATTTACAATGCTTAAACTTTGAGGGTTTGGTAGCGCCTGCTTGGCGATGCTTGGACACCTACAAATACTCTTAGCAACATTTCCACTGCATTCAATGGATTGCTCATTTGTGAGGAGAGGAACCACTCACCCTAAGCTTATCCGTAGCCATTCGCACGTGCCAGGCCTTGGGGTTCAGAAGGCTAAAAAACCCGTAGTGAACAAGTAGAGCAAATTCGTAAAACGATTAGGAATGTCATTTTTCTAGGATCCTTCATCTATTACTTTCTTATCTACTGTGAAACCAAAGTGTAATACAAAATATGCAAAATGTGAGCAGTTCGTACTGCCAAATGCATCGCACGGAACTGTTCATGGTCAAAATAGTAGGTTGGAATAAACTCTCCGTAGTGCAAAGGCAACAACGTCCTAAACATAAATACAAACTTCGAATGAGTCACCACAAACCAGACTTATAAATACAAGCCTGACGACAAATTATACCCAGAATTTCGATACAAATTAAGCCTGATTAATCTTGCACCTACGTTCACATCAGGCAGTGAATAAATGGGTAGAAGCGTGGATGGTACTTACGACACCTGCTTCCCGTCGTCAGTGTAGGCAAACATACAGTGGGCAGCTGTCAAAATCCATCTTGGAGCAATCAGCGTGCCGCCACAGAAGTGTTCCAAGCCACCAAAGATGCGCGAGTAGATGTCGTTGCTCAGTTTGGCCTGAATGGACACGATGAATGGAAACTTGCCCATTTCTGCTAACTCTCCGTTTATTATGCGACGAGTGCGGTGTAACGCCTTGTCGGGCTGGGGCACTGGCCATGCAAATCAGAAAAGCACACGTTTTCCTATTGTCATTTTATGGAGGATGATTTGGTGATGCGGAAGATGGGTGAAGAACTGGGCAGATGTCAACATAATGTATGCTGATCTGGTCAAAGTCTCCAGTTTTAGGGAAATCGAGTCGTCTCTACATAAAACTTTTGTCACGCGAAAAGCATGGGTAGATGTAACTAACACAAGCCTCAAGCCAATCACATTCAATTCCACTTTTTCAATGAATATGTATCCATCTACCAAGCTAACTTTACCACATTGTCGCAGAGCCAAATAAGCTTGAGCCTGAAGTGAAAATTGTTCCCATCATTATTTGCGAGAGGACCGATCTCTCCACTAAATCGTTGTTTGCAAAACAGACTACAGTATTAGACCACGTTTACAAGGTGACCTGATTAGAGGGGTCACAATGCGACCCAACCTCCCAACTGTGTACTTATTCTGCCTCCTAAAAACGACAGTCACTTGGAGAAACCATACGGACTGGCAAAAAAAATGAAGGACTGCCCTTTGAATTTGGCAGTAATGTCAGGTAGCTAAACACAAACAAAATTCTCCTTTAACCGAGAATGCATAGCAATAATTTGTATATTGATAAGCAGCATTAATGCTGTTGTGGTAGTAGCAACAGTCGCCTTCCCTGCTATGGAAATAACTGTAACTTTCTTTTTATTTTTGTCCAATTATTGCTATTATTATGAGCTAGAAGATCCCGAAACACCTAAATTCCACTCAAATCTTTCCATGGCAGT